GTGTGTGTGTGTGTGTGTGTGTGTGTGTGTGTGTGTGTGTGTAGGAGGTGGGGGTAGGGCAGAGGCAGCTAGGTGGTTCAACAGATAGCGTACTGGGCCTGGAGTCAGGAAGACCTGAGTTCAAATGTGGTCTTGGACACTTAATAGCTGAGTGACCCCGGGCAAGTCACTTCTGTTTCCCTTAATCCACGGCAGAAGGAAATGTCAAACCACTCCAGTATCTTTGTCAAGAAAACCCCATTGACACTGTGGGCAAGCAGTGGTCCACCGAGTCACAAGGAGTTAGGAATGATTAAACAACAACAGATACACACACACATACACACATTTACATATATATATGTGGGAGGTGGCAGAGATGGCTGTCACTGAGGGTTTTCACCTGCCTAAATGCAGTGGGCTGACACAGATTTAGAATCCCTTACAATTCCACAATTCTAGGAGGCATGCTCTTAGTTGCCATGTTACCAGGAGTTTGCTTTCTTTGTTGCTGGCTGAAAGTAATGCCAGAAAGTTAGTTATCCAGGTCTGCCTAGCCCTTTGCCTATATTTATTTATCTGGATTAGGTGCAAATGAAGTCCTGGTTTGACTCTTATATCTTGTGGCTCTAGCCTACCTTTCCAGGCTTATTTCATATCACTCCTCTTCTTACCATCTACATTCCAGGCAAACTGCCACATTTCCTTTTTGTTGACCTATTTTCTACTTCCCTTTCTTTGTACAGGCTGTCCTACGTGCTTAAAATGAACTTCCTCATCTCAATTAGTTACAATCCTTGCCTTCTTCAAGGCTGAACTTAAACCTTCTCCTATGGAAGTCTTTTTGATGCTTCCAGTTGTTAGTGCTGTCTTTCTCCTCAAATTATCTTGTATGTACTTAACTGTATACCTGTTGTGTCCTCCCAAGCTCTTTGAGGGCAGAGAGGCTTTTTGTCTTGGCATTCCCAGTTCATTGCATATGGAAGTTGCTTTATAAGTGCTTGATGAATTATGCTAGCCCAGTGATCTCTGGCTCTGACCATGCTTCTGAGATTTGGCTGGTGACCAGTGTGAGCTTGCTAGAAAACTCAGAATGGGCAGTCCCAACAATCAGGGTTCTTCCAGATGGGCCAGGCTCTGTATGTCTGCTTCCTGAATCCTGCTTTTGGATTCTATCATAGTGATTCCTGGGGGCTCCAACTCTGGCCTGAATTGAAATGAAATGTCTTGTTTGTTTTTTCTGGTAAGGGATCTTCCAGACAATACTTTGTGTCCAAGGCCGTTGAATTTGTTGAATATCAGCTAGCTATCTCCTATCTAGGGTCACTGAGGTACCAAAGTGGTAGGAAGGGAATGACAGGGATGAAGAGGACTGCTGGGGGTTCCTATCATCCTGATGTTTCTATGTTTCCATGTTTATAGATCATCTTTTACATAGTAATCATTCAGCATAGATTACAAGGCATGAAAATAATTACATGTTATCCTTTGGTTTACAAAAATGTGCTTTGAGATATTATTCATTTGTGGTTTGTCGGCTCACATTTGGCTGGTTCCTTTGTTTTTGTTTTGTTGTTTATTTTTGCCTGGTTCCATGTAATAGTAGTAGGGCTTTTTGAAATAACTGCCCTAGGTTATTGTTTGTCCTTTGTTTTCAGAGAGGACCAATAACATTATAGGGACATCTTGACTTGCATGTGAATTGAATTTTAGTGAGGTAGAGTTGCATGAAGTCATTGACCTTACTTTCTCTTCCAGAGATGTTAAAGTTTAGTGGCAAGACAAAAGTCAGGACAAATGGCAGTGGCCTGGGATGCAGTGGATGACCTTAGTGTCTTCAGTGTCTTATCAAGCTCTCTAAGTGCCCCACAGTGCCTGCTTCAGCTGCCTTCATGGCTCTTGGAACAAATTGATGTCATCTGCCCATTTTGCTAGGGAAAGTTTTCACATGCTTGGGGTAGACACCTCCTAACTCACATGCACAGTTTGAGAGCCGTCAGTTATCCTTAACCTGATTTAGTTTGTCTGTCAAAATGATTTACTGGGGTATGGCTGCTGTGCTGTACGGCTATATAGCTTCTTGGAGCCACAGATGAGAGTTGAGGGCCAAGTAGAACCAAATGTGGATGAACTGCCCTGAAAAAGGCTCAGCAAGACCTCACCAGAGGTGCAAGTCCTTCTTGAACACCCTGTACCTCCCTGCCCTAGGTTAGGACTTGGTTTATGGCCAAAGAAGAGAATAAAGCTAACTGAGCTACATCTTGTAAGTCAATATTCATTAACTTAGTGGCCTGGTCTCCCAGTCCCAGATCAGTGGCAATGCTGTAACCTCTCCTAGGCCCAATCACTGTCTGGTGTGTCTCTTTTTTTTTTACCAGCTTCCCTATGTGATTCAGGCATGTCGCGTTCTGTTTCTCCCTTACCAATTCCCTTCTTAATTTCTTACAGACTAGCTTCCAAACCCACTGCTCTACAAGAATTGCCTCCTAAAAGGTCATTAATTATGCCCTTGTCAAATCCAGTGGTCATTTCTCAGTAACCTTGATTTTTCTGTGTCATTTGAACGTTGACTTTTGGAAACTTTTTCTCCTTTAGTTTCTGTGATGCTGCACTTTTCCCATTCTCCTAGCTTAGGCTAAATCTTTGTTTCCTTTGCTGCCTCTTCTTGTTTCTGAGAGGGTGACCCTTTAAAGCTCTTTTTTTCAGACTTCTGCCCTCATTCATTCCCTTGAAGAGGTCATTCATTCTCATGACTTAAACTTTCTGCAGATAATTCCCAAGTCTACATCTTTCCTTTATTTTCAACTGCCTATAAAACATTTCCATTTGATATTCTGTCATCCATCAACTCAATCTCAAAATGACCAAAACTGAATTTCAAATGAACTAACTTTCCTCCAAAATGACTTTCTTACCAAATACCATTTTTATTACAGTGCCATTGTTTTTCCAGTTTCCCAGGCTAGAAACTTTGGAATCATCATTGATTATCCCCTTTCTTTTATCCTGAATATTTTGTATGTCATCAAGCCCTTTTATTTCTTATTTCACACTATCTCTTGTATGTTTTTTTTTCTCCATTCCTACTCATGAATTTGTTTCTTCAATGGACATTTATTAAGTTCTTACTCTGTGTAGTGATGGGGGAGATACCACCTTAGTTCAGACCGTAATACCTTCACTTTGGGGTTATTGTAACAGCCTCCTAATGGGTCTTTCTACCTAGGTTCTCTTGCCTTCTCCAGGCTGTCTGTCGTACCACTGCCACATTCATCTTCCTAAAATTGTTTTCATATGTCTCTTCCTTTCTTTTCCTCTCATTTTCCTTTTTCTCACCCACAGGTATCATGGTCATTTTTCTTCTTCTGTGCCTTTGCTGCGGTCCTTCTCTACCATATGCTCCCCACTCCCATCAGTACCTCCCTCCCTAACACCATACACGTGCACACCACACACATACACACACAACACATATATGCATATATATAAACCCCACACATGTTTGTGCACACACATATACCATACACAGAGATATGCACACACACACAACACATACATACACATATACCACATGTGCACAATCCAGACATATACACTCCATGTACATATCACACAATACATATACATGCAAACACACACATGTGCATGCCACACAGTGCATACACATGCACTACATGAACCCACATGTACATATACAAATGCAT